TTTTCACCCTAGTATTAGGAAAGTATTTCAACCTTTATTCCCGTAGTTTTTCCATGTGAAAAGTGACAGGGCATAAAATGTATATGTAGAAATCCAGCTCTCTCCATCTTAGCTCCTTGTACTTTACACCTGGCAGTCAGCATAGAGAGAGAAGACAGAGGAGCTGGATTATCATATAATTTCCTAAATCTTTAATTTAAATGTAAAAGATAATGTGACGGACCGCCTGGCACCCCGACCGGTACCTCCGTCAATCGCTGATTCCTAGTACTTGCGAGCACCATAAGCACTGCACTGGAACACCATAACCACCGTAAACCCCATGAACTGCCGCAGCTTGGTTGGGGTCTCACCGTCCTCCACCCACCCTGGTCCCAAGACCAGGATCCAGCTTCCAGTGGGCAGACCTCTCCTAGTCCAGAGACCGTAGCAGGAACAGCTCTTATAAGAGCTAGTGATTATACTCAGGGGAGTATTGTAATTATAGCAATCCCCAGAGTGAATATAGCTCTCCAATCCCCCCAAACATGAGCCAAGACTTCATGAAGGGGTAAACGAATCTCCGTTTAATTGGAGCCACACTTGGCCTTATATGACAATCCCCATGCAAGGGGTATGCCCAAATGGACCTGATGGTCGACTGATTTGCAACTTCACAGTCCAATAACAATAAGGTTACAAGGCACGACACTCCCACACACAGTACACAATCCCTCCCCTCGGCCTGGGAGACAATTGGATCAGTAGCTTTACTAATCAAATCCAATTATCACCAAGCACAGGAAAAACATACTTTTTTAAAACACCGAAAGTACCCTAAAAATACATATAACTCCACAAATGCCGCCGTTCGGCATACGAACACGTGGCCGCGGTCATCTTATGCACGAAAACCTCAGCGGTGTTTGGGCGTCGAGTGTCTGGAACTCAAATCGGACACTCAATTACCCGAACACCGATGAGACCTCCAGAGCTCCGTAACTCCCGAACAGAGAGGCTAATCAGTTCGGTGAGTTAAAAGTACGTATTCATGCGAATACAAGGTTAATAGTGGATGGCATGTGTAACGGATCACCTGGCAAACACCGACTGGGTACCTCCGTTGAAGGATGCACCTAGCGTTTCCTGAGGACTCCAAGCACTGCAGCAGACACCACAACCACCGAACCGGAGAAGCATACGAATGATCTCAAGCATATGAATGCTGTAAGCAGCTGAACAGGAAAAGCATACAATCTGTTTACACTCCTGGCAATCAGCATACAATCCAATTCCCCCAATAACAAGACGACACTTCGTTTTGAGGTCAAGCAGAACTGATTTACTGGAGCTACCTGCCCGGCTTTTATGCAGGTCTCCCACCTGGTGGACACTCCCCTATGGGACCAGATGGAAGAATGGGACACAAAAGGCAAAAGGACCAATTACAGACTTACACATTTCAACAATCCCACAATGCATCACAATCCCTCCTCTCTGGCCTGGAGATAATTGGGAAGTAATCCAATTATCTCCAAGGACAGAGGCAAAACTCCATTACACACATTTTTAGTAAAAGACATAAAATTACATACGGTTACATTGATCATATAAAACATACACATTCTACATATCCCCAGATAGCTTAGATCTGAGCGCACATTACTACCAAATGGCGCTCAGATCACATACATACAGTTCAATCGCCATGGAGCCAAAGTCTTTCCCATAGTCTTTCGTTACACGAATAGGCTCCATGGCATGGCTATCTGGGGTAATGCTGTTCATACGGTGAAACTACCGAATGAACAGTCATTCGGTTCCACTACCGAATGCAGAGGTAAGGAGGCTGACGGCTCAGCGGTGTTCGCGCAAATAAGTGTCCGTTTTCAGTTCCATAGTTTGGGCGCTGAACACCGCTGGCCGTTCGGAAGTTAAAATGGCCGCTGCCACGTGTTCGGCAAACGAACAAAGGCCACCCAGCGTTTGTCAATTAAGCTGCGGTTAACCGCAGCTTCCATGCGGTCAATTGACGGCACACTCCAGTTCCCAGGTGGTCGATTGTTCGGTACTTTGTTCGGTAGATTGAATCTACCGAACACCCCGGCAGAAAGGCACGAATACGCCTTTCTGCAGGGAAAATAAAAGGTTATAAATGCTGGGCCATAGTCTAAAGGGAGCAGGCGAGCAACCAGGCTCCTCCAGTGGACAGTGGCGAGGCTGGTTCCGCCACAGCATGTATTTATGTGTATTTTACCTCCCGAACGGAGACCGACCGCAGGGCCAAATCACATGGAACACTTTTCGGCAATCACCTCGTGTGCGGTCGGTCAAATTGTCCCTTCCACCTAACCCCTGGTCTGATCTGGGTGAATTTTGGATATGTTGGTCACCCAGATCAGGGCTACCAGGGGGTGCCACTTAGCCCATTGTACCTAACTGTTTTGGGGTACATCCAGAACTCGGGGAAAACTACAGCATGTTGAATGGGATTATGTGTCCCACTCAGGGGAGGAGAAGTGTGGGAGGTAACTGTGACATTATTGGTTATTGTCCTAATTATGGTGAATCCCTCCCTTGCATGGGAGAATGCTTTATAAGGAGGTTGTGTGAATTAAAAGTCAGTTGTGCTCCTGATGCTGTGTGTCGTCCAGTCATTGGGATTGAGGTTGGGATATTGTTGGATTGTTTTGCCTGCTGAAA